ATCTCTCCTTTGTAGTAGTTGCAGCATAGTTTTGTGATCCTCTCTGTGCTTCCCTGGTACCTAAACTCTTTCTGGCTGCTTGAAATATTTTTTTCTTTAACTTGGAAGCTCTGAATTTTAGCTATGACATTCCTGGATGTTTTCTTTCAGTTTGGGATTACTTTCATGAGATTACTAATATAGTCTTTCTGTATTTACTTGTCCCTCTTGTTCTAAAAGATTTGGGAAATTTTCCTTTGGTTTCTTGAAATAAGATATCCAGTTTTATTTGGTCATGCATTTCAGGAAGTTAAATGATTATTAAATTACGTCTTCTGAAACTGTTTTCTAGATTGGCTGTTTTTGATAGAAGAAAGCTTACATTTTCTTCTACTTTTTAAATCTTTTAATTTTGTTCCAATATTTCTTGTTTTTTCATGTAGTCACTGAATTCTGATTGCTTCATTCTATTTCTTCATGGTGTCTACTACTTGGGTAAGGTTTCAAACCTCCTGTCCTAAGCTATTTATTCCCTTTCCATTTTTTCCCCTCATGAGCTCTAATTTCAGTTTTAATTTTACTCTTTATTTCTTGTTTCATTTCTTCCAATTATTGTTGTGGCCATTTTTTTCCCCTCTGAGCATCTCTCCCTACTTGCTGTGAAGTTATTCACTTCTTTTGGGCTTGCCTCTTGGGTTTTTCTTAACCTATAGTATCTTTTTATTATGTTTTTTTTTTTTTTTTTGCTCTCGAGTTCTTAGACTGGAACTTTTTGTAGGGCCAGGTTCCACTCCCTCTAGAACTCTTGGATAGGTTGAGCAATACCTATTTGGTCCTGTCCCCTCTATAGTCTAGCTGCTACTTCTACTGTCATTATGGTTGAGGTGGAGGACTAAGCCTCATTCTCTTCTTCAGTCCTGTTTCCTGACTCAATCTTCCAGTGATTCACTGCAGGCAGTGGCCTTAATACATCTCTTCCTATTTCTTGCAAACTTGCAAACTCCCTAATTAGGAGTTAGCTCTATCTCCTGCTGTAGTCTTGATAAGACCCAGTCAGATGCTTGTAATCACCCTGGGTTTAGGCCTCTTGCAAAGCTCACTAGTGTGGGTACTCAGGCACTGAGCTGACCTTATCTCCTGCTCTGGCTCCTAGTGCACTGAGGAGTTCTCATGTGAGTCCTGACTCCTTGCACAGTGACCTATGGTGGCAGGATCTGTCCCTTGCTGTTCTTCTGACATGCCAGGGCTAGGGTCATTTATTTCTCCTACTGCTCAAAAACTTCAAACCTGTTCACTAGGACTTTAGCTGACTTCTAGACTCTGCTACTTCTTGCATTCTTTTTTTTTTTTTTTTGAGTTTCTGGACTGGAGGAGTTTTCTTGTGTTTTTCTGTGGTTTTCCTTATCCCTTCTCCATATCTTTCAGATATTTGCTGCTTTGTGTATTGGCAATCTGGGAACCTCTACAAACTCTCATGCTGCTATTTTACTTAACTGGAAGTTGTAAGCCTTAAAATATTCTACAAATGTTAGCCATTAATTCATTAAACATTTATTAAGCCCCTACTATGTGCCAGGCACTGTGCTAAGCACTGGGGATACAAAAAGGGGCAGGAGATAGTCCTGCCCTCAAAAAGCCTAAAATCTAATGGGGTGGGGGAGACTTTTCCCCCAAAGCAAGCTATATACAGGATAAGTAGGAAGTAACAGAGGGAAGGCACTGGAATTAAGAGGGGTTGAGAAGCCTTCCTGTAGAAAATAGGGTTTTAGTTGGGACTTGAAAGAAGCCAGGGAAGTTAGCAGTCAGAGTGGAGAAGGGAGAGCATTCCAGGCATGGGGAACAGCCAGAGAGAATGTCCAGAGTTGTGAGATAGAATGTCTTATTTGTAGAACAGCTAGGAGGCCAGCGTCACCAGAGAGAAGAGTACGTTTTTACTATTATTGTTATAAAGAGGCATTGTTGGTCAATGGTTAGATGGGTAGCCTTGTTCAAGAAGGTTGAGTTTAAGACCTACTACTGGTACAGACTTGCTGTGTGACCATGGACAAGCCACTTAATATTTCAGTGGCATAGACAGCTCTCTAAAACTATAGCTTACCGAGGTATTTCTGATCTACATAGAGTGGAAGAAGTTCCCATCTTGCTCACAATAATGAAATTACAGGTCCACAAATCTACCATTAATGTTATAATTATTCTGGAGACTTTTCCCAGCAGAATGGGTGGATAAGAACAATTTGTTTCAATGGCCATGAAGGCGACACTGTGGGGCACTTAGAGCTTTGTTAAATATCAAAGACACCAAGGTCATCCACTGCCTCCTGGGCCATCGCCAATCATCTTGACTTTTGTCCTAACATTGGACTTCAATGACTCTGGAAGAGAGAGTAAGTGTGATAGCTTTATGCAACTCTGCCTCATTTAAATCCAATTGATGAGCAAGTCAAGACATCACCCATCACATTGTGATGTCATTGATCCTTTCAAAATGAAAGATGAACAACAATTATTCTGTTTATGATCTCTTAGATATCTCCTTGTCAGAGATCTAGAGTCAGTCAATGCTTTCCATTCCCCACCTACCCTCTCTATGCAATAGTAGCTTATAGCTAATAATATAGCTATAAAGACTGATGACAACAAATGAGATGCATGATATCAGAGTCTTCACGATAATCTTGTAGGCAGGAATGATAGAAGCAACTGACCAGGTGTCACCTCACTTATCAAAACCACACTTCCTAACCTCTGCTCTAACCTTTTGCTTCTTTCCAGATCACTCTCTGAGACCTGCCACTACAATGTTTTCTAAATCAAACCTACTTTATGTCCTGACACTATAACCTACTTTGTGTCCTGCTTCTGTACTGTACCTGTATTTAAATTTCTCAAGTCAGATTTAATGGCATAAAGTCTAAAAAAGGAGAGACAGCCTTTATTCAAATTCTCTTCGACTTTCTTACTGACTGATCAGAGCTTATACAGCTTAGTGTCTATCATGGTAAATTAGCATAAGAAAATTTGAACAGCTATATTAAACACCTCTATAGTCATCATGTTTAAACTTTTAGTTTTCTACTGTCGCTTTAAAATACTCCTGATTAGAGAGAACAAAATGAAAATGTAGATGAACCATAAGAAAGGGTTGAGTGGTAGAGGGTTGATCAGAAGAATATGATTAACTTGATGAAGGTATAGGGAAGGCATCTTCCTGTGGAGGCTATGGATATGCCAATTAAAATCTTCATTAAAAGGATTGAGGACATCTGTGCCGAGGTGCTTGCCAACCTATTCCCATCTCATTGAAGATGAATAATTGCCTCTTATTGTGGGCCAAAGTCATTCCTTTTTGCTGGAGAGATTTAGGGAGAAAGAATAGTTAGAGAGGAGATTTGGACAGAGAAATCATAGAGAGAGAACTATGCAAAGGTTAAGAGTAGAAACTGAACCCTGGAGTGTGAATCTTCATGACCTTCCCAGGCGAGCCATTAATGATAGCCATAGGGAGGCAAGAACTGAGACAGAGACATGTTGCAATTGCATTTGTTCTTAACCATGTGCCCCAAGAGGTGGCTAAAAGAGGCTGGGGGAGGCCCACTCAACTACATGACTCCAGGAGAACATGGAGCCACATGACCTAGTCTCTTGAATATAGAAGGGGGCTCCTAAATCCCAGTTTTCTATAAAGAAAAGATGGGAAGGGATATATGTGCCTTGAAATCACTATCCTCTTGGAAAGAAGATCTTGGGACTCAGACCTCTGGAAAGAAAAGGAGGAATCTCTGGATAGCACCATCCTCTTAAAGGATTTGAGCATGTGGCTTCAGACCTGGAGAAGAAACAAGGGACAAGGCCATGATATGATAAAAATTCTGGATGTTGCTTACTGTTACTACCCTGAACTATTTAGATAATACAGGTCTCTTGGGAAATGAGGTTGCCTCTCTAGCAACCCCAAGTTCATTCTCCTTTGAAGGGGAGTTCAAACCTTGAAGTACTGTAATGGTAGAGGCCGATGTAAGTAGTACCCTGGAGTGAAGGTCAGTCAACAAAGAGTCAGCCACAATCAAAATGACTGAACAACAACAAAAATAGCTAGGAAACTTTTTTTTTAATGCTACACAAAAATCCTATTTCCCAATCTCAGCCTATACTCCTGTTAGAGAGAATGGATGAGAAAGTACAGATGTAAGTAGTCTATTCTCACTACTAGAGAAACAACTAAAAGTTCATTTACTATTCATGAAGATGGTGGTTAGAAATCATCTTTACATACATACCTATTGCATTTCGCATATATAAATTTCTCTCTGGTGTGCACGGATATTTATTTAGAAATGAAAGAATTTCCTCTGACTCTCCTGGCTTAAGTATTTATAACTATGTAATATTTAATAACTGAATAATTCACAGTAACATAAATAAAAGGGAACTCTACTACCATGAAGAAACAGATGTGGTGTGCCATCATAATAGGTTCACAGTTTCCAGGACACGAGAGTTTTCATGGACAGCAAACTCACAAGGGACCACAAATATGACAGGGGAGCCCCAAAACTGAATGTGATCTTAGGCTGTCTCATTATATACTGGACAAAATAAGGGAGGTGACAGTTCCATTGTATTCTGCCTGTGTTAAACCACATCTGAAGGATTCTTTTAAGTGAAGTTACCACATCTTAGGATGGACATTCGACAAGCTGGAGTGTGTACACTTGAGGATAGGTAGAGGGAACTGAGAATGCCCTCCACCATGTGGTAAGCAGATATAAAAGCAGAATTGCCTGTTAATATGACCCCTGACCTCAATTACCTTATAATTTTATTAAGGAAGATAAAGATTCGACATATGAAATTACCACAGAACAGTTTAAGATAATATTAATTATGTTAAATTGAAACAGCACATTATTCCTTCTCCTAGTTGGGTTGTGCAGACCAGGCAAAATACAATCGCATGTTTCCTTCTACCAGGAACGTCCAGGCCCAAAAGGAGAAATGATTTGCAGAGCTAGTCTTACCTCTGTCTTAAAATCTGTTTGTTGTCTTCAATTGTAATACTATCAGCATGATCCTGCTTGAAGATTTCAAAAGCCTCCTGCCGTCCCAGTGACATCTCTTCTTTCTTTCCTGTTTGGAGACACATTAAGATCTCTTTAGCCTCAGGAAGAGGATCAAATTTTATTAGCAATTCAGGAAAAACCCTGAAGCAGCCAGTGGTTCTGAGACACCTGCAGTCATAAGGCTCCATACCAAACCTAGGGTTCTTGGACCAAAGCTACTTTCACGGGGCATAGAATATATAGCTAGGATGGCTTCTTGAGGATGAGGGCTGTTCAGTTTTTGTTGTTGCATCCCCAAGCATTTAGTCCAGTGCCTGCCACTATAAAAGCCTCTTGATTCATCTACTGTACTCACTAGATTTTTATTTGTTCTTGAGTTTACCAGGTTTGGGGGAGAACATCTGGTTAAAGGAAGCAATATGACCACAACAAAAATGAAAATTCTAAACATTAGATGGCAGGAAATATCTAAAATATATGTTTTCATTTCAATTTAGTGCCACATCTCGCTTCATCCCTCCCCCTCATTTTCCTTTCATAACCCAATCCTGGTTTCCTATTACTTTCCCTATACATTTCCAGGTAAATGGTAGGGAAATAAATGATCATTAAAATGGAAATTTGAGTGGGAGACTATAACTATAACATTTCTTAAACACCTATTATGTGCTAGGCACTGTGCTAAGTGCTTGGGATACAAATACAAAAAAAAAAAAAAGAAAGAAAGAAAACCAGTCCCTGCCTTTGAGTTCACAATACAATGGGGGAAGACAATACATAAAAGGAAGCTGAAGAAGGGGATTGAGAGGGGAAGAGAAGGCACCCTGTGCAGATGCATGATGTGACCTGGTCCAAAGGAGTACAGCTGGATGGAGAATGAAGATATGGTTGGCCTGGGAACACCCTTTAAATTCAGGCTTTGAGAGGAATTCTCTGTTCTATCCTTTAGTCTTCCAGTCAGAGAGGAACTGAAGATATCAAGGGAATTGATGAGTTGGTGAGTAGCAACATCAATGCAATCTCACAGGATAATGAGTTTCCTAATGATGAGACTTCTCTGGGCATGGTAGAGTCCAGTCCACAGGAATGCAGCTGGGTGGTGAGAGAAATATTATTTCTCTCTTTCATGTAATATCCAGGTTTCCCCTTTTCTACTTACTAATCCAGAAATCAACCTGTGTGGGAAAGCTTGGGCAAAGACTTACCCAGGCTAAGATCTCATCAAAGACAGTAAAGAAAGTCTAAGTTTAAGCGAATGCGTGGATTCCTGTTCATTGTATTTACTCAGAGAGGTCTAGGAAAATATAGATTCTCCTTTTTGTCAGATGGGTAATATGGAAATTGATAAATCTCTTTGCCCAAGATTTGGGTGCTCAGTATCAGGTACTCCAAGACTCTCATTGGAATAAACCCAACTCTCATTATAATATTAATTCTCTCATTAATTGTCAACCAATCACAGTTGATTCCCACCTTCAGGAACACTCACTCTTCCAAGGCATATAAACTGTAAGCCCACTGCCATGAGTAATCTTTGGTCAAAGAGAGATGGCCAAATGACCATTCCTTTTATTCATAAAATGCTAGCATTATTAATAAAATGATTAATTACTCAGAAATAGTGTCTCTCAAACTTTTTAAATGTCACTGTGGGAAATGAGATTGAGTTTAGCCCTTTCTTGAAGAATAAGGCATACAAGAGCCCTAGGTCTTTAACTGCAGTATTTAGAAGCAAGAGCTTCAAGCCAATACAGAGTTAAGGGAATTCTGACAATTGTGTGAAATGTTTAAATTTACCTATATTCATCAATCCTCATCAATTTGTACTTGGACTATTGAAATAGCCTACTGGTTGCCACAAGTCTCTACCCACTCTAGTCTACCCTTTAGTTAGCTGCCAAAGGGACCTTCCCAAAGCCCAGCTCTGACCAAGTCATGCCTCTACTCAACAGATTCCAGTGGTTATCACCTTCAAGATCAAACATAAAGTTTGGTATTCACTACCCTTCATAACCATACTCCCCTCCCCTTTTCCAGTGTTGTGATTCAGGAACATAAGCCTCCTTGCTGTTCTTCATGGAAGACACTCCACCTCTGGGCATTTTCACCCAATGTCTGGAATTCTCTCTCTCCTCAACTCCCTGGCTTCCTTCAAGTATAGGCTATAATTCCACATTCTAGAAGAAGTCTTTCTAATCTCCCTTATGCTGAGGCCTTCTCTCTGTTGATTATCTCTAATTTATCCTGTACAGAGCTTATTTATATAAAGTTGTTCACATGCTGTCTCCCCTATTAGACTATGAGCTCTTTGAGAGGAGGGATTGTCTTTTGCCTTTCCTTGAATCCCCAGCATTTAGTACAGTGCCTGGCAAATAGTAGGCACTTAATAAATGTTTATTGGTTGACTGAATCCTTGAGGATGTTCCTGTAGCATTATCTTCTCTAGCAATATCTATCTCCTGTCCCATGGAGAAAGCCAGCCCTGGTGTGTAACAGGTTAAAGACTGTGGCTAGAGTTGTATTCATGAGTAGATCTTGTCCTGACTACCTGTGGGAGAGGGAATCAAGGGCCAACTCCAATTGGTGACACTCTGGGACTCCACCAAACAGCTTTCAAACAGAACAAAAATTATTTTATCCCTCCCTAGGAAAAAAAAAAGACATTCCCTCACATCATGTCTGCCTCTGGGTAAGACAGCTGAATGCACCCAGCTGACAACAATTTAATGATTATCATTGATAAAAATAGCACCATGAAGAATGTCTGAATGGTGAAACACACAAAGACACTCCACCCTCTTTCAATGAGAAGCAAACAGACAATGATTAGTATAGTCTTCACATCTGTACCACATACTCAAGGAGGGGGTGAACATGAGGAAGGGTTTTTGTAAGAATTGGAAGAATAGACCACAGGAGAAAAACACTGAATAGCTTGTATTTTAGGGGTACTTAATATACTGACCACTTTAGACCTGACTCTCCATAGCTCATCAAATTGACTCTACTATCCATCAACATTCCCTCTCCTAAGAGTTAGGAGACTAATTCCTTTTCCCAATGTGTATCTAACCTAACCAAACAACGTACAATTTATTGCCTAAAGTAGTAGATGGAGGGACTAGCTCCCTCCACAATAGGAGGTGGAAGGAAAAGCTTCCTCTGGGAGGGCCTTGGGAAAGAGAAGAGGTCCTGTAAAATCAGGTTGGAACCTAGGTGAGGGGCCACCAAATTGCTTCCCACCAGTCACAGAGGAGATGACATTGTGGAGAAGGCTGGTCAGATGTTTCATTCCTGGAGTCCTCCTGCATTTTGGGATTGCTGTCCTTTATTAATTAGTTGAACTCAGGTGTGTGTCTTGAAGTGTCTTGTGTGGGCACTTGGCTTTGGAAAGGTATTTCTAAGACTTCTCAATCCATATGCTACTGAATCAATTAAAAAATAGTCAACAAATTTTAAGCACAATATGCATCTTTCAGTCAATTCTGTGACCTGAAGGAAGTTGTCTATTGTAGAGTATCATTGCAAAAGTCTGTTTATTTCCTTCTTCCTACCTTTATAAAAGATGTCCTCAATATAAGTGGAGCTTACATAAAAACTGTGTAGAAATAGGAGTGTAGGCATATGGGTCGGTGGTTATTAATACCATCTTAATCCTCCATTTTGTAAATATTTAATGACCAGGATTTTTTCCCAATTGTTTTGGTATTTTTGCCTTTTTTGGATGGCATGAAAATCAATCCTCCATGTATTGATCTAGTCCAACTGCTCTTTCTTTGTTTAGTGTTATTTCCACTGCGTCATGTAACACAATGGGAACTGTGAGTTTAGAGTTTGAATGTGGCAACATTCTCTCACATATTGCTAGCTTGTGTTTTGCCAACTATGACTAGCACTAGCTCAATGGTCCTTAAGTTAGTCGAGTAGTGGAAAGTTGGGGAAAGAAACTGGTTTTGTCTTTAGTCCTCTTCTCTTCTGGTCCTGCAGTCTCTTCCTTGTAAATTACATTTATATTTAGAGCTTCAACTCTCACAGCCATACATGGGAAACCTCTCCCTGGATGTACTATCAAACTAAAACTCATTAGGTTCTAAACTGAAATTATTTTTCCTCTCCAAACTTGCTCCTCTTCCTGATTTGTCTTCTTCTGTCAATGGAACCACCAGCAACATTCACCTATGATCAAAGGTTTGATATCATTTTGATCCCTTCTTCTACCTTACCTTCTATATCCAATCAATTGTCAGGATCTGTGAGCTTCACCATATCTTTCACATATGTCCCCTCTTTTTTTACCCTTATTGCCATGACCTCTACTAAGACACTCATCATGTCCTGGCTGGACTGGCTTCTAACTAGTTTCCTCACCTCTCAACCTCCTCCAATTCATTGTACACATGATTTCTGTGTCTGTATCTAATCATGATGCATCCTTTATTCAGAGCTTTCAAATGACTGCTTACAGATCATAGATAAAGGCAAAACTCCTTAGCTGCTAAACTATGAGAATGCAAGGCCCAAAACCAACTGGGGTTACCCCCACTTTTCCAACTTTATCTGGAATGAGAAAACTCTACTATGTTAAGAGCTTATTAGGTACTGGGCAATGTACTATGTGCTGGGCTACAAATACAAAAAGGGTGACAATCCCCGCCCTCGAAGAGCTTACATTTTCATAGGGAGAGACAGTATATACAGGGGAGTGGATGTCAGGGAAGGGCATTTTGACATGGGGAGTCACAGGAAGGCGTGAGTAGATCCATAGGACAATCAATGGATATGAACAATAACCCCATCAATTTGACTACTGGGTGGACAGCAAAAGGGGGAGAGCCATGGATGAGGGCAGATGGCAAGAATGAATGAAAAAGCATTTATTAGGTGCCTATTACATGGCAAAACACTATGCAAAATGCTGTGGAAGAACAGTAATAATCCCTGTTTTTAAGGAGTTCACATTCTAATGGGGGAGACAACACACACTGGAGATTTCAACTGCATGTCAGATGGACATGGCCCAGTGGTCCTAGGATGCAGTAGCAAAGCAGATGGTAATGTATCTTCTTC